GAAGGGGTTGCCGGCAACTGAATGTTGAGCAGACCACGCCTGTTCGAATCAGGCCCGAGCCATACGTTGTTTTCCTATTCTTTTTTGTCGTTTGATCGATGGAACGAATACTAGATGAACTTTTGGAAAAACTCCATACGATAAAGGTTGAGTATAAACTGAACGCGCCAGAGCGAGGAGGAAAGGGTTCGGTAGCGTTTGGTGCGCATCTGCGGTCAATAGCAATTAGTGACCATGAAATGTAAGCAGACATCGCCTGTTCGACTCAGGCCCGAGCCATGTTCATGAACCCATCGCCTTTTTTTCTCTTTTGGAAGTCAAGGACTGCGAAATACTATCGACCCACCATGAGCTACGGTGGCTCGCTCCCCCTTGGTGCATCTGCGTGCAATTTCGGTTCAATGCGATGAAAAAAGGTAGCCAGATAAAGCCTGTTATGTGAATTTGTTTCAGTCAATGATTCAAAAAGTTGAATACGGTGGACGTACGAGAATGGACGGGAAAGGGTCGGTCCTTCAGCCATTACGAGATCCGTTGTGCATTCTTTTTGTCAGTCGAATGACGGGATGAATGTTAATGTGGGTGATGAGGTGCAGACGTAGCCAAAAATGGGAGGATCCATACAAGACCTTGCAGAAAGGCTCGGTAGCGCGCGGGCGCATTTGCATTCAATGTGCGATCATTGATTTGGACGAATGTAAGCAGACGTCGCCTGTTCAAATCAGGCCCGAGCCATATTTACGTTTTGTGCAATCCTTTTTGGGCCGCAAGCCGACCAAAATGGAGGAGCACTCGAAGGTACCAGAGCTGAGTGAAAGGCTCGGTAGCGCTTGGTGCGCGTCTGTGATCAATGAAGGGGTTGCCGGCAACTGAATGTTGAGCAGACCACGCCTGTTCGAATCAGGCCCGAGCCATACATTGTTTTCCAATTCCTTTTTGTCATTTGATCGATGGAACGAATACTAGATGAACTTTTGGAAAAACTCCATACGATAAAGGTTGAGTATAAACTGAACGCGCCAGAGCGAGGAGGAAAGGGTTCGGTAGCGTTTGGTGCGCATCTGCGGTCAATAGCAATTAGTGATCATGAAATGTACCATGTTGATGCATGGTAACCTTTTTTCTCTTTTGTCAGTCAAGGACTCCGAAATAATATCGACCCACCATGAGCTACGGTGGCTCGCTCACCCTTGGTGCATCTGCATGTAATTTCGGTTGAATGCGATGAAACAATGTAACCAGATAAAGAGCCTGTTGTGTGAGATTGTTTCAGTCAATGATTCAAAAAGTTGAATACGGTGGACGTACGAGAATGGACGGGAAAGGGTCGGTCCTTCAGCCATTACGAGATCCGTTGTTCATTCTTTTTGTCAGTGGAATGACGGGATGAATATTAACGTGGGTGGGGGCGTACAGATGTAGGGCAACAGAACGCGAGGGTAAATCGAAGGTACCAGACCTGAGAGGAAGGCTCGGTAGCGCTTGGTGCGCATCTGCAGTCATTGGAAGCTTTTCTCGTGTAACGCAAGCAGACATCGCCTGTTCGAATCAGGCCCGAGCCATGACCGATCTTGGAATTTTTTCTTCTTTCTCTGGTGACAACCAAGGACTCTTATCCGGCGATTCTCTTCCATGTTTCTGCCGGTTGACTCAAAAAGTTGGATAGGATGGACGCAAGAGAATGGGCGGGAAAGGGTCGGTCGTGCAGCCATCATGGGTTCCTCTGAAATTGATTTCGGCAGCCGCCAGAATGAACGTTGATGAGGACGAACAGATGTAGGGCAACAGAACGCGAGGGTAAATCGAAGGTACCAGACCTGAGAGGAAGGCTCGGTAGCGCTTGGTGCGCATCTGCAGTCATTGGAAGTTTTTCTCGTGTAACGCAAGCAGACATCGCTCAGGCCCGAGCCATGGCCGATCCTGTATTTTTTTTCCGCTTTCTCTTGTAACAAATCAAGAACTGTTGCGCGGTGGTGCTCTTCCATTTTTCAGTCGATTGAGTCAGAGTTGGATAGGATGGACGTACGAGAATGGAGAGGCTCGGTGGCGCGTCGAAGCATCTATGTCCAACCATTAAGGATCCTCTGTCATTCCTTTTTCCAGTTGACCACAGAATGAATGTGGATTGAGGACGAACAGATGTAGGAAAGAACGCGAGGGTAAATTCGAGGTACCAGAGCTGAGAGGAAGGCTCGGTAGCGCTCGGTGCGCATCTGTTCAGTATCTCAATGGCCACATCAATACGTTAAGGCAGATATCGCCTGTTCGATTCAGGCCCGAGCCAGGCGATGATGTTCTTATATCATTTTTTTTTCTTTTTGCAGTTCGGTAAGCCAAAAATGAGAGAATGAATGGGAGGTACCAGACCTTGCAGAAAGGCTCGGTAGCGCGTGGTGCGCATCTGCGCTCAGTGCGTAGAGAAAGCTGTTATGCTAGCAGATATCGCCTGTTCGACTCAGGCCCGAGCCATTATTCGAGTGCAATAATGTTTTTTATCGGTTAGTAGACCACAAACGATTTATGATGGACCGTATGAGGGGAAGAGGATGGTTGAGGAGCATGAGTTGTTTTGAATAGCGGCGATTCTAGATACGCATTCCTTTCGGAGAATTTGATGGTAGATTTATTCGTTGAAGACGGAAAGTGCACCGGACCGGCGGGGTGCCAAAATAGAATCAAAGTCAAGCGGTGTGGAGTTAGTCGAGTCGAACCCAAGAAGAGCACACACAGTCAAGGTGGAGCTGGCAGCGAGGACACCCCAGAAAACCGCATATTTAAAGCAACGATGCAAGAATAGCCCTTCTTGTGGATCCGCCCGGCGGTTTGCGTACCTGGAGGTTGCATGACGAAGTGGGACTGGCAGGGCCTAGACCAGCCCAGACCGTGTTTGTCAGCAATCAGATCGTCCCTTGTACAGTACTTGTACTTGGCACCCTCTCCCCGTCCCTTGACGCAGGCCCGCCATGATTCGGTTCGACACCCTCCCCCCCGAGGTCATGCAGGCAATGTGCACCCCGATGCACCAGATCCTGCCCCCGACGCCCCTCCCCGCAGCTCCGCAGGGCCCACACCCGTCCTCCTCGTCCCCGTACGCGCCCTACCCCTCCGGCCCCTCCCAGCAGGTAAAGCTCTCGGGTGGCCTCTACCTCGGCTCGCTCTCCGCCGTAAACGACCACCCCCTCCTCCGTGCACACGGCATCACGCACCTCGTCCAGGCACTCGAGGCCCCGTGGGCACCACCTTGCCGCGCGGAGGACGGCTTCGTCGCGTACAGCATCGACATCCGCGATAAGGAGTCCGTCGACCTGCGCCCGCACCTCGAGGCCGCGTGCGTCTACATCGAGCGCGCGCTCCGCCGGGGCGAGGGCGTGCTCGTGCACTGCCAGCAGGGCGTCTCGCGCTCGCCGTCGATCGTCATCGCGTACCTCATCCGCAACCACGGTATGAGCTACGACGCTGCGCTGGCGTTCGTGAAGCGCAAGCGCGCGTGTGCGAAGCCGAATCCGGGCTTTGCGAGGGCGCTGATGGAGTGGGAGGCCGCGTGGCGCCGCCCCCAGGCACAGCGCCGCTTCACGTCTTGAGGTCTGGTGCGTCCGTGGTCCATTCTACGTGGATGTATGCTGATCCCTGCTAGATCTGTTCATCCTGCGCCACCTCTCCGCCCATCGTCCCCATCTACATCCACATCCATCGATCACCCTCCAAAAACCTCCCCGTGTATCCTCTCCTCCTCCGATGTAGTATCCCTCTCGCCCGATGTATCTATCGCTTCCCCTCGTTGTCCGTTCCCCTTCCTTTGCTCGCTCGTTTCCCTCATTTGCTTGCCCGCGCTCCTTATCTATCTTCCTTCATCCGTCCGTCCGTCCGCCCATACATAAGGTACACCCATCTTCGTCACACATACATACATCCCGTGCCCGCTCCGCTCCTTCGCTGTCGCCCTATCACCGCTCATTGCCCCCGTGCCCGTATTTGTATTTATCGTGGACTCGGCGTGTATCTCACCCCTCATCTTGCGTACATACTCCGGATTTTCCCCTACCCGCATCTCGTCCTTTGCTTTTCCGTACCTCGCATTTCCTGTTCCCCGCCTACCGCTCCTCCTCCTTGTATTTCGCGCTGTACCTATGGGGCCCTTGCTCTCTTTCTCCGCCTGTATCTTCTCTTGGGTTTTTGGTGTTAATTGGGTTTTTTCGGTCTCGTTCTCGTTCGGGCTGCCAACTGATGCAAGATGCCCCTCACCTTCCAAGTGGTGCAAAAACGATCTGCCCCGGCTGCCAGCATGACGCAAGAAGAACCAAGATGCGCGGCGAGATGATAGATCTGGCAGCGACGCTGATGCGGGTGGGGCGGAAGTTGACTGTGCGACGTCTCGACGTGCAAGTGGCGCGCGCGGCTGGATAATTAGAGTAGCCGTGGGCGTGTCGACAGTTCGTGCCTGCCTCGCGCGGTATATCAGGCTCGGGCCGTGTATGGACCCTACATACCTGTCAGGCTGCGGCGCCCGGCTTGGCTTGTATCATCTTCCTGAAGTGTTCTCGCGTGGCGTGCGCCACAGTATTTATACAATACGCAATGCTGTCATCGTCAAAAACCGCCGTCGCGCAGGTCGCGTGCGCTCGGACGCGGGCCGGGGTGCGATGTGCGTTTTGGGATTTGGAAGTTGGAAGTTGGATTGAGATTCGTGATGCTGACATTTTGGATTGCACCCGGTGTGAGTGTTGGTTTTTGGATTGGGATTGCACCCGGCTTCTCGCGTGCCAGGTTTAAAATCGAGGTGGGGTATTCAAGGTCGCGAGTAGGCTGGTACGTCGGGCGTGGTGTACGGCACACGCTCCCCTCTTCTAAGTTGTCATGCACGATGAGTTGAGAGGGAGAGAGCCGGGTTCGATTCCTGGCGCCCGAGTTTAGGTGTTTATCCTTTTTATTTTCTTGCGTTCCCTTGCGAGCGGGCAGCGAAACCTTGGTAGGATATTGGAGTTCGGAAGTAAGCTGGTACCTCGGGCGTGGTGTACGGCGCACGCTCCCCTCTTCTAAACGGGAATTGAGGCGTAAGTGAGTGGGAGAGAGCCGGGTTCGACTCCCGCCGCCCGAATTCAGGTGTTCAGTCTTTTTTATTTTATTTCGTTGCCTTGCGAGCGTGCGGCAAAACCTCTGTAGGATATCCAAGTTCTGAAGTAAGCTGGTATCTCGGGCGTGGTGTACGGCACACGCTCCCCTCTTCTAGCACGGCATGTAACGAATGAGTGGGAGAGAGCCGGGTTCGATTCCTGGCGCCCGGATTGTCATTGACGATGGGTTCTTTTGTTTCTTCCTTTCGTTCCCCTGCGAGCGCGCAGAAAAACCTCGGTAGGATATTGGAGTTCCGAAGTAAGCTGGTACCTCGGGCGTGGTGTACGGCGCACGCTCCCCTCTGCTAACATTTCATGCTGCGAATGAGTGGGAGAGACCCGGGTTCGACTCCTGGCGCCCGAATTATCCATCACCAGGACGAAGTTTTTCTTCTTTTTCTTTATATTTTCTGGCGGTGCCATTCGAGTCGTAAATCGACAGGATAGCCGAGTTCCGAAGTACGCTGGTACCTCGGGCGTGGTGTACGGCACACGCTCCCCTCTTCTGGCCCAAAGTCGATATTGAGTGGGAGAGACCCGGGTTCGATTCCTGGCGCCCGAATTGAGGTGTTTAGTCTTTTTGTTTTCTTTCGTTCCCTTACGAGCGGGCAGGTATGATATCCAAGTTCCGAAGTAGGCTGGTACCTCGGCCGTGGTGTACGGCACATGCTCCCCTCTGCTAACATTTCATGCTGCGAATGAGTGGGAGAGAGCCGGGTTCGACTCCTGGCGCCCGAATTATCCATCACCAGGACGAAATTTTTCTTCTTTTTCTTTATATTTTTGGGCGGTGTTCGAGTCGTAAATTGATAGCATATCCAAGTTCCGAAGTAGGTTGGTACCTCGGGTGTGGTGTACGGCACACGCTCCCCTCTTCATGTAGAAGTCTTCGAGACAAAGTGAGAGGAGAGGCCCGGGTTCGATTCCTGGTGCCCGAATTATCCAATCAGAACGCGTTTTGCTTTCTTTTTCTTCCTTTCGTTCCCTTGCGAGCGTGCAGCAGACCTCGGTCGGATATCTGAGTTCGGGAGTAGGCTGGTACGTCGGGCGTGGTGTACGGCACACGCTCCCCTCTGCTAATATTTCATGCTGTGAATGAGTGGGAGGCACCCAGGTTCGATTCTTGGCGTCCGAATGGCTTGAAACAATTCCAGCTTTTTTCTTTTTCTTTCTGTCCCTTGCGAGCGTGCAGAAAACCTCGGTCGGATATCTGAGTTCGGAAGTAGGCTGGTACCTCGGGCGTGGTGTATGGAACACGCTCCCCTCTTCTAGGTTGTCATGCATGATGAGTTCAGAGGGAGAGAGCCGGGTTCGACTCCTGGTGCTCGAGTTGAGGTGTTTAACTTTCTTTTTCTTCCGTTCCCTTGCGAGCATGCATCAAACCTCGGTCGGATATCCAAGTCCCGAACTCAGCTGGTACCTCGGGCGTGGTGTACGGTACATGCTCCCCTCTTCTGGCCCAAAGTCGATATTGAGTGGGAGAGAGCCGGGTTCGACTCCCGGCGCCCGAGTTTAGGTGTTTAACTTTCTTTTTCTTCCGTTCCCTTGCGAGCGTGCAGCAAATCTCAGTCGGATATCTAAGTTCTGAAGTAAGCTGGTACGTCGGGCGTGGTGTATGGAACATGCTCCCCTCTTCTAAGATTTGAGTAGTCACTTAAGAGTGGGAGAGAGCCGGGTTCGATTCCTGGCGCCCGAATTATCCATCGCCATGACAAGTTTTTCTTCTTTTTCTTTCTGTCCCTTGCGAGCGGGCAGCGAAACCTCGGTATGATAGCCAAGTTCCGAAGTAAACTGGTACCTCGGTTGTGGTGTATGGCACATGCTCCTTACAGTGCCACCTACCTATCTACCTCAGCTAAGTGCGCGTTATGCACATTTTGAACAGAATATCAGCAGTGAGTTGATAAACTCGACACAGATCTCATTCAACTTCACTTCCGATATAAGGAACATTCAAGATTCGTCCGATGCTACTACTAATCCTGGGTGTCGGTCTCCAGAATTCCCTTTGTCACACAAATTGGTAGCAGCTTCGGCCACATCCCCTCCATGTGCTTCTTCACCTCCGGGTAGTAGCGGCACGGCGGCATCCTGATTTTCAGGATACGGAGCGATGGATATTGCGACCCAGTCAGTGATTGGTCGAGTTGAGGCCATTTAATGGTACCGAGTTTGTGCTCGGGAGCAGCGCTCTCCATGGGGGACACCTTGTCCATGGAGAGAATGATCTCCTCGATAGATGGCGGCAGGAGTGCCAAGATCTTCGGCAGCCATTCAATTGTCGACAGGAATGATTTGTCGAAATAGCTGTATGAGAAGGTCTGCTGCCAAAAGTCGAGCTGGATTGACTTGAGCTGGGGTAATGCCGCACAGTATCCGGAGTGGAGAAATTGAACTAGAAAAAAAATGAGAAGATCGGACCTTGATTAGATATTAATACGTACCTGCACCCTCGTCGCCAGAAATCATAAACTTGATCTTGGAGAGAGTTGGCCCAAAGCGAGCTAGAAAGCGCCCAAATTCAACCGGTTTTTTAAATTGCAGACGGCCGGGATCTATGGTATCGATTACACCAGAATGAAGGTCGACGAACCACTTCAAGACGGTCGGGGCAACGAGGTCGTCCGAAGTTGAGCCCCAAAACGATAGCTCCCTGACGCTCGAGGGAGGAGAGACTAGATCCTTTGTAGATTCTGAGTCCCCGGCATACTGAGAATATTGGCTCCCAGTTGACAAGGTTTCGAGGGCTGTGAACATCAAGACAAACGCTGCAAATTCGGACATATCGCACTCTTCTGGCCACTCTATCGACACCTCTTTGATATTGTTCCGGATGGATTGTGGCATCGAGCGCTGAATCCCCTGGAGATCCCATGCATATAGGCTATGGAGCTCCAAGGATCGTAATGCGATGAATTTTGGAATGAGGTGGAGAAAATTGTCCATTCAATCAAGCTGGCAAGTTTCACTGGTGTCCATGGATCTGTAAGTGAAACGGGGTTTACGCGGGTTACTAGTAGAGGGCGTAACACGTGTAAAGTAGAGCAGTGAAGTTGGTATTGCAAGAATGCAACACAACCAGATAATCCAAAATACGAGGGTTCGGGAACCCTTATATAATCAGTCAACCAGGGACTTTCACTAATTGGGCAACTCAGCGAGTTACTCGAAATCAGGGAATATAGTGGCTCAGCGAGTCACTAGATTCAAGTCAATAAGGAGTGTCTCAGCGAGGCACTAAGTTCAAATCAGATAGGTGTCTCAGCAAGACACTAAAAACAGGCAGGTAGTGAGGTTCACTAGGGTGTATTGGCAAAGTAAGTAAGATGTCCTTTACACAGGGAAAGGACTCCCTTATATACTACAGAGGTGAGTCAGAGGTGAGTCAGATGTGAGTCACAGATATCTGACTCACCGATGCTATGTTCATAGCCTTCGTACAGACGTGGGCTATGACTCGATAAGCAGTGTGAACCGTGAGACATATGACTAAGTTAGATCAAAACACTCGTGTTTGGTACGAACATATGCAGAATTAAATACATGGAGACTCGGATAAATAATATAGGCCAAAAATAGTAGTTGTACATTGATATCCATCACAGGATCTCGATGGTCTGAACATAGGGAAATACCCTGCAAGTGCTCGTTGTTCAGGATGGTCATAGGTTCGATTCTGGAGAGCCAGAACATTGCGGAGTGCGTGATTCGTTTGAATAAAACCCCCCGGGTCACGGACATCCAGCCACGGGAGACCAGAGAAAAAGTGGTAAGTGCCTTCTTCTCACAGGGGGCAAAGCTAGGGGCAGTGATCATTGTGGCATGCCATGGGGCATCCTAGCGGAATGTCACGGGCACTTGCAGAGGCCTCGTTGAAGTCACTGTGGGGATTTAGGCACAATCTTTCAGCCGAAATGGAGCAGATGCCGAACTGATTAGATCTCGATTACCTTTGCTGTATGAATTTCCACGTTAACAATGAGGTGATTGAGGAATCCGGAGGAACCGGCCCGAGGCTTCGGCCGATTTGATACGGAGATCGGCAAAACATTGATGTAACTGCAACGAGGTTGCAGCAAGGGCTGTTGGCGTGCCGGTGGGATGCCATTGACATGCCATTGGCATGCCACTAGCATGCCCTTATGACAACTGCCACCAACTTTGCCCCCTGTGTCTCTCCTATCGAAAGGATTATCAATGAGAATATCTCGAAGGGGAATCGAGGCCCTTTGAGCTCTTGTTTTGGCCCTAGTCAATCACCCACTCGCTTAAGCTTAAAGCTTGGGGCTTACCCGATGAATCTCCTGCCATAGCTCAGAGTTATCTCTCTTGAGCGCCAGGATCTCTTGTTCCTGCGTTTGTAGTTTTGTCTCCTGCGCGACCATGCGTGCTTCCATGCTTTTCACCAGGGTGTAGACATCATTCAATGACATCCTCGACGCCCCCAAAGCGCCACGAGCTGGAACGTCTGGTCAACGAGGACGGTTACCAAGTGCCACTAATGGCTTACCCAGTCCTTCTTGGTTTGGGGTCTGTGGAGCCTGTGATCGCTGCGGGTGGTACATGTCAGTCTGTGGAAGCTCAAGACAAAAGCGCTGAAGGTCAGCAGACCATGCTGTCATTCCGTCTATCAATATCAATCGGCGATTACCGTAATCTTGCCGTAATCCCCGACGCATTGAGTAAGCATCATCCACGGATAGTTCTCTAGCAAGGACCACGCAAGACCGTACTCAGGCAGACACTTCCAGGTTCAATCGATATCCCATCCGCCGTCGCCAGGAGTCTTTGAGCATGAGAAATTAATTCCCAAGAGTTCAATATCCCGCGGTTCCTCATGCTGATTTCGAACTTCCCGTCACATAGCCTCTACCGCTACTGGTCGTCGTCACCCAGCTGATACCAAGCTCTTCCGCAATTTGGGTGGATATTCGGGCTGAAAATTCATATAGAATTCGGGCGTGGTGTACGGAACACCCTCCCTCCCTTTGAAGGCGACAAGACGCGTTAAGTAGGAGAGACCCAGGTTCGATTCCTGGCACCCGAATGGCCCACCATGTATGGCACGTTTCTGCTTTTTCTTCCCTTGCCAATGGAAATACATAGAACAATTTGGTGGGATGTTCGGATTCGAAAAGGAGGGAACAACTCGGGCGTGGGGTGCGGCACACCCTCCCTCTTTTTCCGATAGTGTGAAGGAGTTCAGTGAGAGTGACCCAGGTTCGACTCCTGGCGCCCAGAGTAGCCTAGTTTTGAGCCTTCTTTTTCTGATTCCAACCGCTTCCACAGTTCTGTGGGCGCTTCAAATAGAAGCAAGCAAGCGCAGCATCAGTCTAGCCCGTGGAGACTTTCGTTTTTCATTAGACTGGAAATCAAATCTAGCGGGTGCGAAACTTTTGGTAGTATTCGGGTTGGAAAGCCATATAGAAACTCGGGCATGGTGTTTGGTGCACTTCTTCCCTTTTTCATCAGGCGAAAAAAAAGCTTGAATGGGAGAGACCCAGGTTTGACTCCTGACGTCCGAACTGGCCCGAAAAATTCCAAACCTTTTTGACCTCCACATAAGTTAATTCTGAATTTCGCGGGGATATTCGAGTTGAAAGAGGAACTCGGGGTAGGTGTAATGAGCATACTCCCTTCGAAGTGTCAATCAAACGGGAGAGACCCAACTCCTCAAAACCTCAGTTGGATAGTTAGCTTGGAAGGGAGATATGGATTACTGTTCTCCAGACTTTGGATTCACTCCAAATTCTGGCTTGGTTGACAATAAAAAGAGGTAGGAAAACATCGTATGGCTCGGGCCTGATTCGAAGAAGCGGTGTCTGCTTGGATTGTATTACTCTCAGTGAACGCAGAAGTACACCGGATGCCACCGAAGCCTGTCCGCAGCTCTCGTTCACAAAGTGGGTAGGACCGACGAGCGGCACACCCTGCAACCAATCTAAATGTATTTTAACCTTGGATTTCTACAGGATAAGTTCTGCGACTTAGACACGTCAAGCAGAATTCCACCTGTCCAAGAGTTGAATATTCAAGTTGAATTGAAAACCACAACTGCATAGTAAGCACTACTCAAAGGCATGGCTCAAAGTTCGCTCGGTCGCCGAGCCCTGGTGAATAATGTTGCCGCGACTCCCGACTCCCGACTCCGACCCCCCGAGTCGACTTGGTGGAGTCGACTTGAGTCGAGCCGAGTCGAGTTGGTGGCACGACTCCACCCGACTCCGGAGACGAACGAAGTCGACTCGCCTCGACTTCGAGTCGACTTGAGTCGTTTGCAGTGGGATGCATATTTTCATGACTTTCTGGCTGCCTAGACCATCCCAGATGGCTCTGATGAGGTTAGAACACTAGTACGAAGGTACTTAAGTCATCATCGAGCCGTTAGAAATTCACATCAGTGTGCTGGATTTTTTTTAGTATAGGCGTGACATTCTCGAGATCCCTCAAAAATATGCCCGCTCATGAGATATCAACATTTTCTCTCCTCAAAGAGTTTTGAAAGTGCGCAAAAACGTTGAATGAGATGTTCCAGGCACTTGTGAGAATCATCTCAGCGCGGACATTCAAGACTCTTCTGCTTTCCACAATTATTTTATGCTGTTATTTGGCCTCTTTGGCACTAGTTACTTTCTAATATGTATAGTATATGTATAGCCCATCTCCTGTAATTTATCTCAGAGTTTCTGAAGCATA